CCTGATAATAGTATGTGTCTTCCCAGTAGAACTGGATGGCTTCAGAGAAGCAATTAAAGGAGTGTAGAGCATCAAGGCCCTCAGGATTCCTAATGAAAAAATGAAGAGGGGAGTGCCGAGGTAATCTGAGCTGGGTGATTTATTGCAATAGAAGGAGTTTTGGCAATCCTTTGAATTAAGAAAGGATGGAGGAGTGATACGTGAAGGGTGCTACACCAATTAAGTGGTTCAATTTTCAAATTCACACAGTCAAGGAATTCAGATTAGAAATGGCAACTTAACTTTGTCATTCAGTTTATCCTCTCTCACCTAGCAGCAGAGACATACGAGTTGGGAAGAGGAGCTAGAAGAGGTGCAACCTTTTCCTCTAGTTCATTCTGTGATGGCAGACAGTTGAGAACTGTGGTAGAACCCAGTTGCTCAGCATGTAGCTGCTGTGGAGAGCCAGCACAGGTGAAGAAAGTGTTTTGGACTTATGTTAAATAGATTCCTTGACTCAGGGAACACCTAACTTCACCATGAAAGTGGATGTATGAAAATCCTGTTTTAACTAATTTGTTAACATGTTCAAAAGTACAATGCTTTATATGTATAATTTTGTATTGATAAAGAGTCAAGTCAAACACCAGTCCTTTCTATATAAGATGGATTCAGTGCTCATGAAAGATGCATTTGCTGAGGTAAGGGTGGAAGACTTGTTCAAAAAAAAGGTCCTTGGCCACCAGTGGCAATTTATCCTAACTTTTTTTCTTCCATCCTTCTTTGCTTTTGAAAGAAGGAGCTATCTATTGTGTTTCCTTGTCCTGTAGCTGAGGTTATGAGGCAACAGAGTTGCCCAAGCACTGTAAATACACGTAATTGTTCCTTGTGGGGTTTAGGATATTCTGAAACCTTACAGCAAAAATAATGAGATGAAATACTGTATTTGTGCAGAAAATGTGTCATGCTTCAGTACATTACTGTTGTATCAGTGCTATATTGTATGAGTTTGCATTTGTGAATTACACACCTGCTGCAAAGCACTTACTTAAACATGTTCTGTGTTTTGTGC